GAACCAAAGATCTCAAACGTGAACTCATCAGACCAAAGCACAGATTTCCTCTGGTCCAATGTCTACTCCTTGTGTTTCTTGGTCTAAACAAAACTCTTCTGCTTGTTGCTCTTCCTTAGTCGTGGCTTCTTAGCAGCTATTTGAGATAAAGGTCTGATTCACACAGTCTGCTCTGAACAGTTGACTTGTGATTTCTGAGGCTGGTGACTCGGATGAATGTATCCTCAGCAGCAGAGGGGACTCCTGGTCTTCCTTTCCTTGTGGCGTCCTCATGTGAGGCAGTTTCATCGTAGTGCTTGATGGTTTTTGCGACTGCACTTGGACACGTTTAGTTCAGACACATCAGAAGTTTTATCAATTTTCCAACTGACCGACCTTCAGTTCTTAAAGTAATGATGGACTGTCGTTTCTCTTTACTTAGCTGATTGGTTCTTGCTATAATATGAATTCTAACAGTTGTCAAACAGGGCTGTCAGCTGTGTACCAGCCTGACTTCTGCACAACTGATGCTCCCAACACCATTAAGAACGCAAGAAATGCCACCAATGAACCCTGACAGGCTCACCTGTGAGGTGAAACCATCTCAGGTGACGACATCATGAAGCTCACTTGTCATTCAGTCTAACTTGGCAGGCTGTCTTTGGGAAAGGACATTTTTGAGAGAGAAGTTCTTGCAGCTACAGTGAAAGTGAACACTAATCCTGAAATTGTAACTCTGTGATGGCCAAATGAAACCAGTCATGGTGGTTAAACCTGGGACTGCATTTTACAGACTTCCCAAACTGATAGCCGATGATTGCCATAACTGCAGCAGTGATGCAGCAAGAGGGATGTCCTCCCCTACACTGCACAAAAGACACAAACAGTGTCCCCTGTAAGGTGACTTCAGTACAAATAGCCTGGCTGAAGATTTGCATACTGTTTGCTGCCCAGCAGGAGGAGAATACAGCAGTCTGTTGGCTGAGATCCCTCTGCACACACACACACACGCATTTGAAGTTTTTCCGACGTGTGTGGCTAGGCCGTGTGGATATGTGTGCACATGTATGCGACAAAACGAATAGAAGGACATCATGGTAGAGGCTTAGGTGAGAGGCAGGGTGCATGTGCTTTTATATCAGTGCTGCAGTGTACTGCTTCTCAGCATACTACAGCAGGTAGAGTGTCTGAGCACACCTCCCTCTCTGAAATCCCTTTCTTACTCTCTTGTCACACGTCAGTTTTCTCATTCGTGCTCATTTATGTTTTTGTTTTCTGAAGCCCTCAACCTGTTTCCCTGCTGTTGACAAATGATGACATGCAGGGAGTGGCAAAAAGGAGTTTTAAATCATTTTTTATGACCACCGTTTAGGATTTTCTCAAGTTTAATTTTTATTCTTCAAACTTGATCCTGTAATTTGAGCACAAAGCTGAGCGCAATGCTTTAAATAAGCGAATGTCTGTAATACATTTATCTTTATACCTTTGACTCGACACAGGAGCAACCAGCTAACCTTGATCTCTGCTTCACTCTGCAGTTAAATTGTGGTTTATGATGCGTTTCATCTGGACAGAAACTACAGGAACAATATCACATTTATATTTTAGAGAAATGTTTAATCTCTGTTCAAAAGCTGAGATCTTGTTAACGAGTACTGGGCGGATCGATAAACCGTAGTCAACCAAGAAACGAGAAACATGTAGCTTGTGTTTTTGTAAAAGATGACTGTTACTGCCAACCAATCATTAATTCAATTCAATTCAATTCAATTCAATTCAATTTTATTTATATAGCTCCAAATCACAACAAAAGTCGCCTCAAGGTGCTTCATAGATACAGAGAAAAACCCAACAATCATATGACCCCCTATGAGCAGCACTTTGGCGACAGTGGGAAGGAAAAACTCCCTTTTAACAGGAAGAAACCTCCAGCAGAACCAGGCTCAGGGAGGGGCGGGGCCATCTGCTGTGATTGGTTGGAGTGAGAAGCAGGTTTGTACTAGACTAGTAAGTTTGTAGTTTTTTTTTCCTTATTGTCCACGTCTGGGCTCTGACTCCACTCGCACCTTGCAGTTTTGCTATTTCATAATTTCCTTCCAGCGATGCCCAAAAATGTAACTTCTGTCTGAAAGGGTAAACCTAAAAGTGAACTTAACTTTAATCCATACCAGGCTGCACTTCACCTGTTGGTGTTTTTAAAAGGTTAAGTTGGTCGTATTGAATTTGCAGTACATATTAAACACTGT